TTCTTCTTCTTCTTCTTCTTCTTCTTCTTCTTCTTCTTCTTCTTCTTTTAGGGAACTGCTGACCCGGACAGAGCGCTGATCGTAGCCCGGCTTGTGTGAGTCCACAGCTCTGAACCGTAAACTGTGTTTTTAATTCAAAGTTGAAGCTTGAAACGCAGCTGTTGCTCCGCCTCAGAGAGCAGTTTAATAAACATGTACAGAACAAAATGTGGAGGAATATGATCCAATGATCTTTCTACACATCACATAACTCAGCTGTTTAGATGCTTTTGGCTTTTTTCAGTTCAGTAAAGTTACACGACACCAAATTCTGTTCTCAAATTTAACACTTTAAACGTTTCTTTTATAATAATTATCAGTTACTTTTTTAAATCCCTCCTCACATCGGCATGAATGAGATGCACCTCACTGCGCTTTTTAACAAAATACATCTTTTAAAGCTGGTTCGTACTATTGTTGTTCTGTCCTTCTTCAGAAACAGCATCATCGATGTGTTGAACTGAACATTATCTGGTCCAGCTCAGCTAAAACACAGCATCAGTCGATCACAATCCATTTTGTTTCCCATGATGCATTGCTGAACCTTTCCCCGTGCTGTAGGGAGCACGATGTGGCTGCTATTGACGTGAACATGGGCTGTCCCAAAGAATACTCCACGAAGGTGAGTTCTCTGTCAGTAAACCAGCAGCCTGCAGCCTGCAGCTCTGACCTCTGACCTCTTGACTTGTTGCAGGGCGGGATGGGAGCTGCTCTTCTGTCAGATCCCGACAAGATCGAGGCGGTGAGTACAGCTTCCTGTAGATTACTAGAGAAACCTTTCAGGCGCTGTTCACATGTGCATCGATGGAGCGAGGGACAGTCCAGCAGGTGGCTGGAATGCAAAGCGTATGGCGAGCATCCACCGTGATACTCAACAGTAGAAGAAGAAGTAGATGTCTCTTCACCTGATGCCAGCGTTCTTGCAATATATTTATTTACAAATCATTTTTGGACATTTTTTACATTAAGTTGTTTGTTTGTTGCATTCTTTTGCAACAATATATATAATACTACTTTTAGTAGTATTATATATGATATATATTAGGTATGAGTAGTATTATATATGATATATATCATATATAATACTACTCATCATCTTTTTCAGATTTCTTTTGGACATTTGTTACTATTTTCTCCCACATACATTTATTATTTATAATTCTCACACCTTTTACTAATTATTTTTGGACATTTTTCACATATTTGTTGGATATTGTTCACATAGTTTTCTAATATTGTCGGACATTTCTCTCGTATTTTCTGACATGATTTCTGGAAATCTTTCCATTTTAATTCAACGTTAGTTAGTTAATGTTGCTCGTCTTTTATCCGTAGATCCTCAAAAAGCTCGTCGCAGGAGTTTCTATACCGGTCACGTGTAAAATACGAATCCTGCCTTCGGTAAGATGTGAAAAACTTTATTATCGTCTTATGATTGTTTTTGCTTCTGGTTAAATATATCAGATAAATACGCTTTTGTTGAAAAGTTATGATTGAGCTGTTGGATCGATGTTTTTCATCCTTCCTTCAATAATAGTTATTCTTTTCTCTTATGAAGTCTAAGGAAGAGCTTTCATAAAGTTCATTCCAGCTTTTTCTAGGCTGCTTTTATTGTGAAACTCTGAAACAGGAAGCTGTTCCTCTTTAAATCTAAGTGTTCTTCACTGGTTCCATGTTCTTCACTGGTTCCATGTCCTGTAACTGGTTCCGTGTCCTGTCACTGGTTCCATGCTCTTCACTGGTTCCAGTTGGAGGAGACGGTCCGTCTGGTCCAGAGGATCGAGAAGACGGGCGTCGCTGCCGTCGCCGTTCACGGCAGGTAAACTAAATATAGACGACGTGAAATATTACTTTAAATTATATTTTACACGTTGTCAATTGTTGGTCTTTTCTCAAATCCACGTTTGACATGTTTTGAATAATATTTCGACATCTTTATATGGCTTTTAATAAGAATAATACTAATAATACATTTTATTTGTACAGCACTTTACATGGTAAAGACAGAAACCGTAAAAGTAATAACAATATAAACAAAGCAGATAAATGACGTTTTAACAGTAAACAAATAAAGAAAAAGAAGCATTTACTATCATCATAGGTTAAAAGCGGATTTAAATACTTTTGTAGTCAAGTTTTGCAGTAAATATATATATAGTTTTGTGTCTCATCGTGCTCTTCATATATGTTTATAACTAATGATTGATTAAGTCAAAGGGCGGATGCATCTGGTTCCTGATTGGCTGCTTCCTTCGTGTGTTTCGGTGCGTTCACTGACCGGTTGATGTGATGTTCAGGTTGAAGGAGGAGCGTCCTCGTCACCCGCTCCACCTCGATCACATTCAGGCCGTCGCTCGGGCGGTTTCCATCCCCGTCATCGCCAAGTAAGCTTCAACACCTCCTCCTCTTTCTAGCTCCAACAGACGGGAGAACTATGGTTTCAGTTTGTTAAACAGGGCAGTGAACGCATCTAGCAGAGACTTGAGATCAGTTTGGGACAGAAGATAATCCATCACAGTGAAGCATTTACACCTTTATTCATAAAACTCAACAAAAAGACATTTATATTTTGAAAAATGTTGTTTTCTACAGTATAAAGTACAATATGTACCTCTGAGGTGTAGTACAGTATAAAGTACAATATGTACCTCTGAGGTGTAGTACAGTATAAAGTACA